ATGCAGATGACACAACCTTGCCTGCTGAAAGTGAAGATGACTTGAAGCACCTACTGATGAAGTTTAAAGACTACAGTCTGCAGTATGTTTTACACCTCAACCTAAAAAAAAAAAAAAAATCTCACAACTGGACCAGTAAGCAGCATCACAATAAATGGAAAAAAGACTGAAATTGTCAAAGATTTCATATTACTTGGATCCACAATCAACACCAATGGAAGCTGTTGTCGTTGTTATGTGCCATCAAGTCGGACCTGACTCATAGCAACCCCTCCTTGGGTTTCTGAGGCAGTATCACTACGGAAGTAGATTGCCCAACCTTCCTTCCGAGGAGTAGCTGGTGGATTTGAACTGCCAGCCTTCTGGTTAGCAGTCAAGTGCTTTAGGCACTACGCTACTGGAAGCAGCAGTCAAAATTTCAGACAACGCAGTCAAACAAAAGACAGGCATATAAACTGAACATTTACGTTAGGTAAATACACTCCTTGGAGAGATCAATCATGAGAGAAAGAAGGACTGTGTATGCACAGGGAGACAGCTCAGGGGGCAGGAGTGCATGGGAGGGAAGGACACAGGGAAGAGGCAACTATGGGGAGGAAGTGGGAAGAGAGCTGTTGCATTGTGGGAAATTGTAGTCAATGTCATGAGACAAAGTGTATGTGAAATTTGCTATATGGAAAATGAATTTACCCTGTAAACTTTCAGCCAAATCACAATAAAAATTAGAAAAAAATCAGACAACATATTGCACTAGGCAAATTTACTGCAAAATACTTCTTCCAAGTGCTTAAGAGCAAAGATGTCTCCTTGAAGACTAAGGTGCATCTAACCCAAGCCATGGTATTTTCAATCTCCTCTTATGCATATGAAAGCTGGACAATGAATAAGGAAGACCAAAGAAGAGCTGATGCTTTTATTTGTGGTGCTGGAGAGGAATGCTGAGAGTACCATGGACTACTAGAAGAACTAACAGATCTGTCTTAGAAGAAGTGCAGCTGGAATGCTGCTTGGGAGTGAGAATGGCCAGACTTCATCTCACCTACTTTGGTCATGTTGTCAGGAGGAATCTTTCCATGGAGAAGGATATCATGCTTAGTAAAGTAGAGGGTCAACAAAAAAGGGAAAGGCCCTCAACGAGATGGATTGATACAGTGGCTGCAACCACAGGCTTAGGTATAGCGAGTATTGTGAAGCTGTCACAGGATGGGGCAGTGTTCCATTGTGTTGCGCATTGGGTTGCTATGAGCCAGAGATGACTTGACAGCACCTAACAACAACAACAACAACATCAGTTCAAGTTACCTACAGCTCTTGGAAATTACATAACTTTCAAAGCTATATATCACACAATATAATTACTGTTAAAATAAAGCTTACCAGAATTATGATACTATTTGGTTAAGCACAAATTCATATATTTCATCTAGCTTGTTCTATCAGTAAACCTGAGTAAGTTAGGAAAAGCATACTTAAGTACATAAAACTGTACCACCAGCCACTCCTAGGAAGGAAATTAGGGCAATCAACTTCTGTAGAGATACCACTCTCGAAACCCAAGGAGGGGTTGCTCTGAGTCGGATCGGCTCAATGACAGTGAGTTTGGTTGGTTTTTTATATTATACTTAACAGTGATAACACAGAGAAAACATAGCTGGTTTTATTAAACCAAAATTATTAAACTAGTATAGTTTTTCAAGGTATTCTCAGTAGCCTCCTGTTTGTGACAGCTAGATAGTGAATAAAGACAACGACAGAAGAGCTGATGCATTTGAATTGTATGGCTGACAAAGAATCTTGAACAGACGTGGACTGCTAGAAGAACAAACAAATCTGTCTGGGAAGAAGTACAGCTGGAATGCTCCTTATAAGCAAGAATGGCTGGGCTTATTCTTTCATACTTTGGTCATGTTGTTAGGAGTAAATCTCTGGAGAAGGATATCATGCTTGGTAGAAGTCATCAAAAAAGGGGAAGACCTTCAATGAGATGGACTGACAGAGTGGCTGCAATGACTGGGTCAAGCACAGTAACAATCGGGGGGATGGCACGGGACTGGGCAGTGTTTGGTTCTGTTGTACATGGGGTCACAATGAGTCAGAAGCAACTCGACGGCACCAAATAATAATAAGCTTTTCAGGGATCTAGCTAAACTTGTGAACTTCAATTTTTCATGAGTTTCTGGTTTAGTTTCTCCAGTATCTCTCTCTCTCTCTGTGTCTCCCTCCCTCCCTCCCTTTCTGTTTCTCTAATACTGTGGAGGGACAGGTCTTTGCAACACTCTACCATACCATTTTCACTGATGTGCACATGTTCGATTTTGTCCCCCTCAATATTCTACCAAAGTTAGGGCAGCTTGGGGAAAAGGCAGAAACCCACACGGACAGGAACCTAGAGTCAGAGGAGGGTGGGATCAAGAAATAGGCAGGAAGCTACCAACTGCCAAGAGATGTCAACCAAAGTCTGAAAGGTGAAGTAGAACAGAGAGGAAGTAAGTAAGCCCCTGGGAAGCAAGTGTTTCACCTGGTGGAACCCCAGAAGGCTCAAGAGGCAGCTCCTGTCTCCAGAAAGCAGGGGCCATGAGGCCTGGAACCAGAGGTTGAAAGCTGGTGTGAAGATTAGCTCCCACAAGCCCCTCCAGGGCCTGCAGCCACACTAGCGCACCCAGCCCAGTGCCAGAAGAGTCAGCCTTGGCTTTCTGGAACAGCAAAGCAGTGAGAGGAACCAGCAAGGGGCATGGTGTGGATAAGAGCCAGGTGAGATGCCAGGTGGAAACAAGAAAGACAAGAAGTCTCAGCCCATCAGCTTCCCAAACCCTGGCCCCAAACCAAAACCCAACCTGTTGCTGTGGAGTCCATTCTGACTCATAGTCGGACCCCATAGGACAGAGTAGAGCTGTCCTATAGCATTCCCAAGGCTATAATCTTTACTAAGCTGCCTGCCACACTTTTCTCCCACCCAGCAGCTGGTGGGCTCCTGGCTGCGCTGAGGTGCCCATTGGTCCCTGGAACCTTTCTGAGTCACGCATGTACTGGAGCCTAGAGTGGACCACGCACTGTCCCCGTCCTGAGTTCACCATCTCACACACCTGCTCTGTGCATGGGCGGACAGGCAGGGCACCTACCCTCCCATTTCCTGAGGGCCAAGGGGTTCCAGAACACGGGACTTCTGATGCCGAATGCAGGCAAACCCCCATATGAGGGTGGCAGTGCCGCTTGCCCTGGCACCCAGGAGTTCCTTGACCTCTGAGTGCCTTCGTACAACACCCTCACTGCCCACCCCCCCCCAAAAAAAACCTACCAAACTCACTGCCATTGAGTCAACTGGACTTATAGCAACCCATCCACGGGTTTCCAAGACTAGATCACCCAGTCTTCCTTCCAAGGAGTGGCTGGTGGGTTTGAACTGCCAGCCTTTTGGTTAGCAGTCAAATACCTTAGGCACTACACTATTGAGCTCCCTCTGTGGGAGGCAGATGAGGCAATCTACTTCTATAAAGATTTACAGCCTTGGAAACCTAATGGGGACCACTATGACATAGAATGAACTAAACGGCAGTATCTTTTTTAATCTTTATGGATGGATTTTAGTTGAAAGCAAAGAATACCAGAAATATGTTTACCTGAACAAGAGGATACTGCATGGTTTAAAATCAGGAAGGATATGGGTCAGGACTGTATCCTTTCATCATACTTATATGCAGATGAAAGAAATTTGCTTGCTGCAACTGAAGGTGACTTGAAGCACTTACTGATGAGGATCAAAGATGAGAGTCTTCAGTATGGATTACACCTCAACATAAGGAAAATGAAAATCCTCACAACTGGACCAATATGTGGCATTGTGATAAATGGAGAAAAGATTGAAGTTGTCAAGGATTTCATTTTACTTTTGTCTACAATCAACAGCCAACAAAGCAGCAGTCAAGAAATCAGATGTTGTATTGCACTGGGCAAATGTGCTGCAAAAGACCGCTCTAAAATACTGAAGAGCAAAGATGTCTCTTTTAACACAAGGGTGCACCTAATCCAAACTATGGTATTTTCAATAGCCTTGTGTGCATGTGAAAGCTGGACAATGAATAAGGAAGCTGGAAGAAGAGTCGATACTTTTGAGTTGTGGCGTTGGTGAAGAATACCGAAAGTACCATGGACTGCCAGAACTGACAAATCTGTCCTGGAAGAAGTACAGACAGAATGCTCCTTGGAAGCCAGATTGGCCAGACGTCGTCTCACCTACTTTGGTCATGTTGTCGGAAGGGACCATTCTCTGGTGAAGATATCATGCTTGGTAAGTGGAGGGTCAACGAAAGAGGGGAAGATCTTCAATAGATGGATTGACACAGTGGCTGCGACGATGACTCAAGCATAGCAAGGTTTGTAGGATGACACGGGATGGGGCAGCGTTTCCTTCTGTCGCATATGGGGTCGCCAGGAGTCAGAACGGACTACACTGCACTCAGCAACAACCTTCAGGAAGCTCACTGACTCATCTTTGTCATGCCTGGAGTGGGTTCGAACAGTTGCGCTGCGGCACCAGAGCTCCCCTGAGGAGTAAGTACATCGCATAGTGAAGGCTCCTAGGATGCAGCACAGCGGAGAGGTGTTCAGCACACGGTCACACAGGTGAACGGCTTCAAACGGCGCGCGTGGGCGGAGCCGGTGTGGACCGGAAGGAGCCGGTGTGGACGGGTCTGCGGGCGGGCCCGTCGGCGGACAGTTTCCAGGACAGATCTGGCGGGCAGAGGAGCCCGGCCGACACTCGACTGTGGAGGAAATGTGCGGCCGGGCGCACGCATCACAAACTGGGTCCCCGCCACCCCACCTCCTGGCGTCGAGCAGCGCCCGCCTCCTGGTGCGTATTTCCGGCGCGCCGGCGACGGGAGGGCTCAGTGTGCGGGCGAGTAATAAGTCAGAGGTCGCTTCCGGGAGCGGGGAGTGGCTACTGCGCGCGCGTCTCGGGCTGGGCTCAGCTAGTCGGTGTCCGATCCCGGCGGGAAGACACCATGCGGTTGGGCTCTGGGACCTTCGCCGTGTGCTGCGTCGCCATCGAGGTGCTCGGGGTCGCGATCTTCCTTCGGGGATTCTTCCCGGCTCCCGTTCGTTCTTCCTCCAGGCCGGAGCACCAAGCGGAACCCCCAGCACCAGAACCGTTGGCTGGTACGGGCCTACCTCCGTTCCGCCGGCGGACGCTCCTTCCTGGGCTCGAGTCGCTGCCTTGGAACAGGGCGGGGTGTTCCTTGCAGGCGCCCTTTTCCTCGGTCGACTCTTCCACTGCGGTCCTCAACCCCAGCAGCCTGTGGGCACCGCTCAGGCTTCTTTGCGTGTCAACCCCGAGGCCCACCCCTGCAGCCAGCGCTCCGGGCCCCTCCTTTCGGATCCCCACCTGCCTCCGCGTGCCCCCCGCTCTCCACATCCAGTGACCCCGCCATTTCCTGAGTAACCTTTGGTCACTCGTTTCTGGACTCTTTTTTGTGCGCTGGGACGCAGCAGATAAGCTTCCTGCCAGCCCCTTGGCGGTATCTTTCATGACTTTGTCCGGACCTCCCTTCCGTAGGTCCCTTAGCGGCCCTCAGCTGGCAGTGCATACTCCGTCAGGGTTCTCCGTCAGCGTGCCAGGTTCGCACAGTGCCCCCACTGACCGCGGACACATTTTGTAAATACTTGTCCATCCTCTGCCTGGAGCGGTGCGTTGTAGGTCTAGTCCCTAAATGCCTCACTCTGAGACCCTCATTAGGGACCCCTATCCCTGCACTTCACATCCCGGAAAACCTGCCGATTTCATCTCATCCCCACACCTGTTCCTGGCTCATTCCATTCCATTTTCGGATCCTCAAGGAGGACCTGCTGTTCTCTGGTTTACCACTCTAGCTAAGGACATGTACCTCCTGCTAGGGCTGGGGCCGGGACATGTGGAATGACAGGTTCTGGGCTGGACAAGGAATGGGAAGGTTCTGAAGGCCTTTGAGTGCTAAATAAAGTATAAGATTCAATTCCTGTTTTTTCTTTCAAACACATTTTAGGAGCCAGTTCCAACTGGACGACACTCCCCCCACCTCTCTTCAGTAAAGTTGTCATTGTGCTGATAGACGCCTTGAGGGACGATTTTGTGTTTGGGTCAAAGGGTGTGAAGTTTATGCCCTACACAACTTACCTTGTGGAAAAAGGATCATCGCACAGCTTTGTGGCTGAAGCAAAGCCGCCTACGGTTACTATGCCTCGTATCAAGGTAAACCTTTTGCCTTCATGCACTAGAAACTTGGCTCTCTCAGAGGTTCAGGGAGCTCTTGGTAACCTTCCACGGGAGATCCAGTTTTCACTGATTGGATATTAGTTGGGTGCTGTCAGCTTCACTGGGGCAACAGAATGCTGGGATTGTCTCAGAAATGGGATGGAACTGAGTCCCATGATTGGTGCCTCTTCCCAGGCCGCCAGAGCACGTGCTTTGTGGGAGGCAGAAGGTTGTGAGGTAGTGTGTAGAGCTACCTCATCCAGTCAGGCCAGCCTAGCCTGAGAGGTGCCGTCCTCCTTGGTGACTCACTGACCTCAGCGGCTCAGTTCAGACCCTAGGTTGAGAGGTGGAAGACCCTTGTAAGGTTGAGTGCCTGCTGTTCACTTTTCAGATGAGAAAACAAACCCAGAGAAGTTAAATGATGTGTCCAAAATTGTACAATGACTAAAGCGGTCTATCTGGCTGTGAGGGTTATTGCTACTACTTCTGTATAAACCTTTAGGTGTTCAGCTTAGTGATGACAGGTAGTACACTACCCAAGTGTTTGAGATGCCTAGAGGTATAGCATAGTGGCTAAAGCACTTGACTGCTAACCAGAAGGCTGGCAGTTCAAACCCACCAGCCACTCCTCGGAAGGAAGGTTGGGCAATCCTACTTCGGTAGTGATACTGCCTCGGAAACCCAAGGAGGGATCGCTATGAGTCGGGACCGACTCGACGGCACATAACAACAACAACAACAGAGGTATAGCGTGCTGGAGCTACCTGGAGGTGTGGTGCGCTGGAGGTGCGGTGTGGTAGTGGTACCTGCAGGTGTGTTGTGCTGGAGGTACCTGGAGGTGAGGTGGCTGGAGTGTGGTGTGCTGGAGGTATGGCCTGCTGGAGTGTGTTGCACCAGCATGCAGCACGCTGGAGGTGCAGAGTGCTTTCCCTGAGGTTGAAGTAAACCTCTGCTGAGGGACTTAACAGTTTACTGAACAGCTGCTGGCTGACAGTGGAGGGGTTACAGTTAGGAAAAATTGTGTCTGTGCCTTCTTGGAGCCCTTCACCAAATGAACATAACCCTACAGTTAGACGGTGGGGTTAGTGCAGTGATTGATGGAAAGGCTCAGGATGGAGCAGCGGAGATGGATGGGGCTCACTTTAGCTGGGGGGTCAGAAAAGCCTGTCTCAGGAGGTGATGTTGGAGCTGAGACTGGAAGGAAGAGTAGAGGGGTGAGGTGGAGAGGGCTTGCTTGCAGGTGTGCTGCATGTTAGTGTGGTGTGACTGTCTCAGGCAGAGCCTTATATCCAGGGCCGATCAGGTGACACCTGACTGTTTGCTGAGAGGGGGCTGCTGCTTTACTTACTGATTGAAGGTTTGAGGGCGGCATTTAGTAGGTGCTTGATAAACGTTGAGTAAAATGGTCTGGGGCTGAGGGATTGGTGCCACATCTCTGCTGACTGTTACTTGGTTTTCCCCCCTGGATGTGCGTGTCCTTCGTGCAGCAGTGTTTACTGAGTGTTCACATGTAGCACACGTGGTTGTAGACGAGAAGGATGGTGTGATGAGCGAGATAGGACAGCCCCGCCCTCATGGAGCTTACTTTCTAATGGGGGGGCAGGGATATGTAAGTATACATTCAGATCACCAAGATAGTTCGAGGGTGAAGGAGGCCATGAGTGACATCAAGGAGGACTGTGATGGGGGTGGAGCAGCTGTGGCCTCTGAGCGGCCATCACTTTTGCTGAGACCCGTCCTGTGAAATCTGGAAGAATCCATGTGGCTCCTGGACATCAGGAACACCTGGCACTTGTTTGTTCTCAGATGTGTGGGAGAAGCCCTTTCTCTTTCATTCTGTTCAGGAAACTGTTACCAGGAATCCAGGTGACGTGGAGTGAGCAGACAGGTCCCAGCTTGTTTATGTTTGTACGTTGGCCAGTGCTGTTCCTGCGGCATCAGCCACTGTTACCAGGAATCTCTAGGTTCCTGCAACATCAGCCTCCAGCCCATTTTGCTCCCTCAGCTCTGTCTGTGGAGCCTCACTCCAGAGTCATTTTATTTTGTCTTGTTTTGTTCTCAGTTCTTTGCATGGAAGAGTTGGGACAGGATGGGTGTGACCAGAGTCAGAGTTGCACAGCTCTGGATTTGGAGGGGGTGTTGTTGGCCAACGAGTATGTCCTTTGCCTCGCCTCCAGTTAGAGAAAGACTTAATTGTTCAGCGTTCATATCACGATAGCACACCAACATCGACGTTGCAACGCTGCAGTGCTTTTAGATGTCAAGATGCAACAGCTTTTTACACTCTGTAACAGCTTTAGGGGGCTCTGGTGGCCCAGTGGTTAAAGCATTCTGCTGTTAACCAAGAGGTTGGCTGTGGAAACCCACCAGCTCTCTGTGGCAGAAAGATGAGGCAGTCTGCTTCTATGAAGATTATGGCCTTGGAAACCCTGTGGTGCAGTTCCATTCTGTCCTCTGGCGGCGCTGTGGGTCGGAATGGACTCCAGGGCAGTGGGTGTGGTTTGGGCTTTGCTTCTGTGAAGATTGACAGCCTTGGAGACCCTGTGAGCAGTTCCATTCTGTGCTCTAGGGGCGCTGTGGGTCAGAATCAATTCCATGGCAGTGAATGTGGGTTTTGGTGTTAATTGAGGTTTCAGTGGCTCCTCTTTCTTCAGGGAATTTATGGTCACAGCAGAGTCTGTGCTGGTCACTGACTCTGTGCCAGGCATGGCAGTGACCACAGAGCACAGCCTTTTCTCATGCACTCTCATCTCAGCCCTGGGAGCCAGGCCCGGGATGCTTGGCCCCCAGCTTCTGCTGCCACACTGCATTACAGACAGACTGGGTCAGGCTTCCCTTTAAGTGGGGTCTGCAGAGCTCCAGGGGGGCATGAGGCTTGAGCTGCCCCTGGAGTTCCTGGACTCCTGCCTTCAGCCCAAGTGTTGCCATGTCTCCTTGGTAAGCGGACACCACCACACAGTGCCCCGCCTTAGAAGTGTCCGGCAGCCCGGGTGGCATGAAGAGGAGCACCTTACAAAAGTCATAATGGAAAGGATGGTGTGGTAGTTAAGGTTGTGTGTCAACTTGGCTGGGCCTGGTTGAGTGGCTAGGCAACTGAATGTAGTATTCTCCATGATGAGGCTGGTAATCAACTCCATGGTGGAATCTATTGGAGCAGCTGAGTAGCTGCCCTAGAGATGTGATCTGCTTCCTGTAAATAAGAAACAGCTTTGGGAATGGTCTCTAGCCTATGGCACGCTTGAACCCTGCATGTAGCCATGTTGTTCAGCAGCCTGCCATGCTCTGCCGACCTTGGGACTTTCAATGGACTTGAATCAATGGCCTGCTGTGTTGCTTGGTGACATTGGGACTGTGCCTTTTCACTTGCCAACCTTGGGCTTGTCAGTGTCAGCAGCCGGCAACTGTCTGAGTGAAGAAAAGCCTCCAGCTTCAGTGGACTGGGAGCAGGAGGCAGAACTGAAGCCCAAGGTTGAGGGGCTTTCACCCAGCCCCTAGCTCCTGGCAGTTTGAACTTGGACTTAAAGCCTCTAAAACCGTAAGGGAATACACTCCCGTTTGTTCAAGCATTCCGTTTGTTTTATCTTCTGCTAGAGCAGCACAAAGGTAACCAAAACAGATGGCCAGGTTGTCATTGTGTGTCATCAACTCGTGGCGACCTTATGTACGATGGAACGAAACAGATGGGACTACATGAAAACTGAAAACTGCCACATGGCAGAATAGTCAGCTGACTGGTAGAAACCTGGAGAAAATCTTTGTAGGGGCACAGCAAGATGTGACATCCATCACATACAGAAAATGGAACTGAGGCCAGACAAGCCAGTGGAAACCCACATGGGAAACCCAAAACCAAAACACCCGGCCCACTGCCACCGAGTTAGTTTGGACTCATAATGACCCTGGAGGACGGAGTAGAACTGCCCATAGGGTTTCCAAGGCTGTGAATGTTTATGGAAGCAGACTGCCTCATCTTTCTTCTGTGGAGTGGCTGGTAGGTTTGAATTGCCAACCTTTTTGTGTGCAGCCCAATGCTTTAACTACAGTGCCACTGGAACGCCTTGGGAAACCAAAAAGAGGTAAGAAATCCTGAAAGGAAGAAGTTGAAAGGCCCAGGAAGCACAACAAGAGACCTTCTGCTTCACTGATCGCAAGAGCAGGCGGACGGGGAGCAGTCCATCAGGCCAGTTTCTGTCTGTCGTGCTGTGAAAATGTGAAGCTCAGTCGTGTGTAGTCTGTACCAGGAAGGGGTGCACAGGCGTTGAAAATGCCCTGGGGCTGAACATGCATGGACTTAGCCATTCTGCAGAGTAGTATCTGTCGCCGTTAACAGGATCCAGCTGTTTGTCATCAAAAAGGAGGACAGCCATTCCTGTGTTGGTGGGAACACTTGTTGTTGTTGTTGTTATGTGCTGTGGAGTCGGACCCAACTCATAGCAACCTCTCTTTGGGTTTCTAAGGCAGTATTACTACGGAATTAGATTGCGACATCTTCCTTCTGAAAAGTGGCTGGTGGGTTTGAACTGCCAGCCTTCTGGTTAGCAGTCAAGTGCCTTTAGGCACTACGCTACCAGAGCTCCTGTGGAAGGGCCAGCTGGCTGTCTCTCCTCTGGCAGCAGGTTTGTGCACCCCGTGAGGAGCTCGTTTCTCCTCCCTTCCTTGTCCTCTGTCCTGCACATCCCTGCATCCCAGCTTCATCTCTGGACACTTCTCATGTCCCGTCCTCTCCACCTAAGTACAACCCCACCCTGGCAATGCTTCTCTGCAACTGCAGCCCTGGCTCCCCACTTCCTTGCCTTTTCTCCTCCAAAGAGGTCTTCGTACCCACTCTCCACTTCCTCACCTCCCACTCCTGTGCCCATGCCAGGTGGATCTTTGCCCACATCCCACCTCCAGAAGGCACCCCTGAGGCCATACCAAAACTCATTGCTGTGGCGTTAACTCACCGTACCCCTACAGGACAGAGTAGAATGGCCCCATAGGTTTTCCAAGGGTGTCAT